GCCAGTGTAGCAGCTGTCTATTATCCCCCACCATCCAATTTAGCAAAACTAGGGGGTTGTGATTGGTGATGGTGACGGTAAATTCTCTTCTGTAGAGATAGGGTTGGAATCTTTTGAAGGCCCACACCAAAGCCAGGCACTCTTTTTCAATGGCTGCATATCCTACATCCCTGTCTAACAATTTTCACCTTTGGTAGGCTACTGGATGCTCCTCCCAGTCCTCATTCATCTGGCTCAACACTGGTCCGAGTCTGTACATAGAAGTGTCTGTATGAACTAGAAAACGTTTGTTAAAGTTTGGAGCTGCTTGGACAGGAGCTTTTCCCAGAGCAGCTTTCAGGGTAGAAAAAGTGTGCTAGCACTCGGGGTACCACAGGACTGTCCGGAGTAGGGATTTCTTAGATCCGTCAGGGGCTTGGCAGTCTCACTATAGTCCTTGTAACGGATCCCCTATACTATGTGAGTACATCCACTGTAATTCTCCCAAATCCCAAGTGAAACCGTCATCAGAGCTCTTGGTTACCCAAACAGCAGCAGAGACTTGGAGCGTACAACAGGAATGACTTTGTTTATTTTGTCACACATGGTTTTACAGGCACAGACCCCCTACATGGGGTCACCAGCACAGAACAACAGGGGTTTCAATCCCAAGAAGCTGATGGGGTGATATCTGGGTCCAAGCCTGTAGTATCAGGGAGTTCCAGTGTGTTCATATGGTATTCCCAGCTTTCCCAATACCGAGGCTCCTCCATGCTGCCAAAGTCACTGTTCTCCTCCAAAGCTTCCCATAGCAAGCCAGGGCCATTGTAGTCATCTCACTTTGGTCTTTTGTCCTCTGCCATCCAAAGGCACCTTTGGACCGGGTACCAGCGTAGTGTCCAGTAGGCCTTGTCACAGTTCTTTCTGGAACAAACGCTGGAGTTCTATGATCCACTCTTCCCGGGGCAGAAACCCCAGTAAAGACATCCTCCATAGTGCTTGCTTTTGTCTGCACCTTTGTAGACTGGGGAGTCTCTCTTTCTATGGACCTTGCGTCCACTCCAGGGCCTCATGCCAGAGATCTTTCCGGTTGCCATTGTTGTAGATAATTTACTGCAAACCAATTAGTTTGAATGACTATCTGTTCCTGTCCAAATTAAAGATAATAAAGTTGCGTGCATGCAGAAGTAAATTCACACTGAGACACAGAGTTCAGGTTAATGAAAGAACTTCGGAGAAGTTTAATGGCTTCTGACAGAAAATGGGTGCGCAGACCCTTTTAAAGGCATTATTACATCACTGAAGAATTCAAGATAACAGCAAATAGACACTATTGATTGGTCCAGGTGTTAAGTGGTTAGTTAGATACCCTCCTATCAAGAGGTGATGTCATCCTTGACACGGGAGTGGACACAAGATGTAGGCGCCATCTTGTTAGCACGAGGTGTTCACTCGATGGGAGGGGTGCTTTGGCAGCCATTTTGAGTAGTTAGTATTGTTAGCTTCAAGGTTCTTTTAGTAAATACACATTTTATTATTCAGCACATTTCCTCCTGACAAAGCATTAGCTTAGATAATTTCAAGAATTCTATAATTCTACAACAGTCCCCCCTTAAAATGTTAGTTACTAAAAGATAAACTTTATTTGTTAGTATCAGAAGATGTGTTAGCCCAAAGACACAGAAACCCCATGACCGCTGAATTAGTGTTAATGCAAAGTGCAAGTCTATCCCTCTCTTGACCCTAACAGGCTGCAGCACATCCGTCAGTACGGTTCAGGAACACTCTTCACTCCGCTGGTAACCCATAGTGGCTTATCCACTACTTCTCCGTACGGCAGTCTACCCATAAAGACGGACGCTGTCCCTGTACTGTCCCTTCCTAGACTTTCTGCACTTCATCAGTATAAGGGAGAGTTTGTAGCGGAATACAGGGTGAGGTGAGATCTTGATCATCGATTGTCAGATGAGTGAAGGTTGGTGTTGCTTGGTCTACAGTTTTCTGCAGGAATTTCCTTAGGCATGGGAGGACACAACAAATGAGAAGAGCGAGAATAAAAAGAAAAATTAGTAAGGCAATACCAATATGGACTAAAGCTTTCTGCCAACTTGACATCCAACCAAACCACCTTTCCCAGGGATCTGTAACTCCAGAGTTTCTCTTTAACTCTTCTGAGAGTCTATTTAATTTAGCTATGGCCAGAGTGACTTTACCATTTGGACCTGTGTTTTCTGGGATATAAGTGCAACAAGTCATGGTGTCAGGTAGTATTTTACATACACCCCCCTTTTCAGCTAGAATCATGTCTAAGGCCATTCTGTTCTGGAAGGTCATCTGGGATGTGGCCTGCAACTGCTCGGCCAGGCCCTGGAGGGCATCCCTGGTGTAGTTGACAAAACGCTGTTGGTTGTAATAAATGTAGTTAATCCAATTAAGGTTTTTGTTGGCAGTGACTATGGTAAAAAGTGATTCAAAACCTACAGCTACTTCATCTCTAGCTTTAAATTCATTAGGCACCCCCCCTAGGTACCCCAATGGCATCTATGTAAATGTGGGGGTCAAAACTGCCTTTTACTGGGGTTTCGCGCTTCACTCTGGCTGGTGGATGTGGAGGGTCGTATGTGTCATGATGATTATCAGAAATAATATGAATGGGCATGATAACTTTGGCTAGGGTACACTCACCCCACCACTCAGTTTCCAGCCTAGATCTTAACTGTAGATCCCCACATAACCAGTAAATATCCCCCAATGACCTGGTATGGTGTTGCAACAGGCGTATAGGAACAGTTCTGTAAGTGGCGCAATAACCTTTAGAAAAATTACCCATGAATTTACCAATCCCGTCATACATGGCATAACAAGTGTAATTACCTCTATAGACTGTGATTCCATCTGGTGGCTTAACATTTTCAACTAAGAGAGGGTATTCTGCCGTCCATGCCATGCAGAGGGACCTATTAAAGTCATATTGGTAGGCAAAAAGGCTTAAGAAGCAATCTTCTATCTCTAAAGGGAGAGTTAGGGGGACGGTGCCAAGGTGGGGTCGGGCACCGCCACATACATAACATGCTGTTTTATTATGTTTGTTGGCATTATACCTCATCCATTCTAACCACAAATTAATGTCATTGAATCCAGTTTCAGCGGCCATGGTATCTTCAAAAGTGGGGTTAGCGATGGCCATCATATCTTTAAAGGACTGGATATGTGGTTTTAGTGGATTTGGGACCATATGATCAGCCCCTTGCCACTCTGGAGAGTGGTACATATCTCTGAGGTAGAAATGACCTAATTTGTTGTAGGAACCTTTCTTCCAATACATTCCCATTACATATCGGTCTGCATCCTCGGGGCCAGGATGTTCAATATTTAACATTAATTTCATAGGGGTACTTCCTCCAGGCTTTCTTAAAGTCATTCTTTGAAGGAGGGATCTACCCTGATTGTCTATCTTAGATAAAGCACTTTTGGGTTTATAACCCCAGGCAGGCCCAGTATTGCATCCCGCAGCCCCCCAGTAGTTACAGTCATAACCCCATTGTTCATCTACTACACAAACGGAAGGGTCTTTTGCTTGTGGTATATCTTTATAAATGGCTTGAATCTGTGACTTAGGGAATGGGCATTCTACAATATCACAGTAATCAAAGGTGAATGTAGCCACGTGGGTACATGATGAATTATACCAGAAAGTGTACCCACTAGCATCTTTGGTGATGGCCACTTGTTGGGCCTCAAGGAAACTAATCAAAGGGATGATGTACCAGAGGTACATGGTTGTGAGGAGTCTGCTTCCTCTGGGACAGGAACCTTTTTGCAATGGGAGGCGTGTATCCAGTTGCTTTTCCCAGCCAACTTGACGGAGGTGGAGGTGATCAGTAGAACTTGGAATGGTCCGTCAAATCTTGGTTCCAGGGTGTGTTTCCGCACAAATTTCTTGACTAGGACCCAATCACCAGGGAGCAGACTGTGGTTGCCCGTATCAGAATCAGGATCTGGAATTGAAGAGAAAACTTGGGCATGGATTTTGTTTAAAGCATTTGCGAGTTCAGTTACATAATCTACTAAAACATCAGTTTGAAGTTGTAGTTGTTGGGGAAAATAGCAACCTAGCCTCGGTGCAGTCCCAAATAGAATCTCATATGGGGACAGTGGGGTAGTATTTTTGTACAAGAGCATTCATTAGATCCTTTGATAAATGTGCAGGTCCGTGTGCCCATTGTACGACTGCTGGGTACAAATTCTTAGGGAGGCAGAATCTGAGATTGTTGTAATACACTCCATCTCTTAGAACTGCCCCTTTCTGTTTCCACTTCTGTATTTCTTCAGGGGCAACTGTAGCCTGTTGTTCCCGCAGGATTTTCAGGTCAGTTGGAAGAGTCTGCAGAGTAAATATGGGAGTTTCTTCATTTCCGGACACTCTTCTTTCCACTTCCTGTGGTTCTTTTGCAGCTTGTTTTGCAGCCTGATCAGCTAGATGGTTGCCCTTTGCTTCATCTGAGTCCAACTTCCCATGTGCTTTTATCTTCAAAATAGCCACTTCTTCTGGGAGTAGGAGGGCGTCCATCAGCTCCTTGATTGCGGAACCGTGCTTGATTGGTGTACCGGCGGTGGTAAGAAATCCTCTTGTTTTCCAAATTAATCCGAAGTCGTGAGCCACGCCCAGTGCATATCTTGAATCCGTGTAGATATTGGCGCGCTTTCCTTCAGAGATCTTGCATGCTGAAGTCAGGGCTTGCAATTCAGCTTCTTGTGCAGACATAGTTGATGGTAAAGATGATGATTTGACAATTTCATCTGTTGTGGTTACGGCATATCCTGTATGGTATCTTCCTTCTTCATCAGCATATCTTGAGCCGTCCACAAACAGGGTGAGATCGGGATCTACCAATGGGTCTTCATGCACTGTTGGTAGATGTGTTGTTTCCATTTTCATCTGTTCAAAACAGTCATGAGGTGTATTTGGGTCGTAGTCATTCACTATGGTTAAATCTTGGAACTCATTTTCCAGGAAATGACGTGGCCATGCTTCTAGGTGGTCAGTTGTTGGATATTTGACAACACCATTTTCCTGTAGCTGTGATTCATCCATAGTGGCCCATGCTTTTGCCATAGGCCCAAGATCATTCTATGATATTGTTTTCAACTTGGTCACAGGGACATGTGGAGTGGCAGTGTCCCAATGACGGTACAAATACTTGAGTTCCGGAGGTAGATGAATCAAGACCATACTGTTGCCTTCAGAATCACAGTAGAAGTCTTGTGCAGTGAGTTTTACTTCGACCAGATGATAGAGTTCATCTTCATAGCAGGGTTCAGGAGTGATGTTTGGTTTGTACCATATGGTACAGAAGGCATATCCTGCTCCGTCATGAAGGAGTGCTTGTCCATCATGAAAGGATAGGTTGGGATGCATTTCCTTCTTTTTTTTTTTTTTTTCATATATAGTCTTTATTTTGCCAACAGCATGAACAGGCGTACATTACATACAGTTTTGTGTACATTAGGTTTTCATGACATGCAGTTCGGACCTTGCGGTCTTACATTTGTTACGTTTTGTACATCATGTAACTCTTATTATACACACATTTCAAGCAGATATAGAATAGTTAACTGCTCCTGGACTGGTTCGACCTCATACCGAGGTTTTAGTTGTGTGCAGTCGGTGGTGCATTGGCAATATTTGGGGGAAACAGGGACAGAAGGGGGGCGGGGGGGGAGAACTTGGAGTGGAGACTTAGAGTCCCCAGCCTTGCTACCCAGTGCTCATACCTACTATTTAGCAGTCTCCAACCATTTCTAACCTGTTTTCAGGTATTATATTAATATTTGGGTGGTCCAGTTTGTGGGTTGTGTGGCCTGATGCACGGGGTATTTGTGCTAGGTACTGGGTTTAAGGCTTAGAGTTCCAGCTTGCCCACTCTCTGTCATATCTAGTCCCCTGGCCTTGGACTCTGCTGGCCATACGTTCATAAGAGCTTATGATATCCAGTCTCTCTGTGAGTGCCACTATAGTGGGTACCGCTTTGCTCTTCCAGTTTTGGGCTAGGAGAATTTTTGCCACTGTGAGTATGTTTATTAGCACTGTTTTGTGGGGGTGCAGTAAGAGCCCGGGTATCATATGTAGCAGGTAGTGTTCTGGTCTCAGCTGGATGAAAAGGCCGGTAGTGTTCCTGACAAGGCTTTGTATCTTTTTCCAGTATGAACCTAATGCCCGACATGTCCAGAACATGTGCAGCATGGTACCCTCCTCCTCTTCACAGCGCCAGCACAGCCCGGAGGAACCCCTGTAAATGCGCGCTAATTTGTGCGGTACTAAGTACCATCTCATGGCTATTTTGCAGTATGCCTCCCATAGCGAGAGGCTCTTGGAAGCACCCTTTGTGATTGACATCGCCTCATACCAGTGCTCCAATGTTAGTTGTTTGTCTAGCTCACCTTCCCATTGTGTCATATATGATCTTGCTTCACCTAGTTGACCCTCCAGGAGGGCATTGTAGCACGTGGACAGGGGTTTCCCTAGTTTAGTAGAAAGAATCTGAGCGGGTAGGAGAGGTAGGTTTTTGGGCGTTTCATTTGTTCTGCTTGCTTGGGGCAGTAAAATGTTTTTTGTTCTAAGGTAGAGGAATACGTCCCTTTGGGGGAGGGAGAATTTTCGTTGGATGTCAGGGAACGCTTGGATTTTGTCTCCCTCTAATAGATCCTTTATGTAATGTATGCCCTTGGCTTTCCAGCTCGCTGTGGGTAGGTCAGGGGAAAAGATAGACATGGCCTCTAGCGGCGCCTCTCTGAGGAGCAGGTGCGGGTCCACGATCAGGTGGCTCCACGCCTGCCACGAGCTCGTCAGGAAACGGGAGCATTGTGATAAATAAGCCCCATCAGGTTTAGCGAGGGCATTGGTCCATAGTATGCGGGACGTATTGTGTGGGTGTAGGTGGGTATCCTCCAGCGGCAGCCACAGAGGCTTTTGGGAGCTGTCTCTAAGTCTTAGGATGTGTACTCCCTGTGCTAGAGTCGCGGCTCTGTAGTAAATTTTGATATCTGGCAGACCCAGGCCTCCTTTGGTGAAGGGGAAGCCGAGGTTGCGCTGGGCTATTCTCAGGGGTTTCCGTTTCCAGACATGTGCATTGATAACCGATTGCATTAATTTGATCAGTTTGTTAGGGAGTGCTATTGGGATCGTGCGGAAGAGATACAAGATATGGGGTAGAGCCATCATTTTAATTGTATTCACTCGACCCAACCAGGAGATCTCTAGGTTCTCCCATTTCTCCAGAGTTGCTCTCAATTTGTGTATTACGGGGATATGGTTTTCTCTTGTTATGGCTTGGTGGGTTTTTGTCAGTTTAATCCCTAGATATGTGAGCGACGATGTGCGCCAGCAAAGGTGTACTTGAGGGTTAGCTGCGCTAGTGTTTGGTGTGGCAGATTTATCGGTAACGCTTGTGTCTTAGCAGTGTTGTTCTTATAGAACGACACTTCTCCGTACTCTTTGAGAAGATCTAGCAGAGCGGGGACGGAGCTGTCGGGGTGTGTTATGAACATGAGTATGTCGTCGGCAAATAAAGCCAACTTCTGTATGCCGCCCGGGGTTGACAGGCCTTGGATCATTGTGCTTTCTTTTATGATTCGTGTTAGGGGTTCGAGGCATAAGATGAAGATGAGTGGCGATAGTGGGCAGCCCTGGCGTGTGCCATTACGTATGGCGAAGGGCGCTGACAAAAAACCAGTGCTAAACACCTTTGCCGACGGGCATTGGTATAGGGCAAGGATGCTATTGATAAAATTCTGTGGAAGGCCCATTTTAGTCAGAGTGTGTGTCATATACCCCCAGTGCAAGCGGTCGAACGCCTTTTCTGCGTCTAACGCCAACACCAGGCCTTGCTGAGAGGAGTGGTTTGCCCAGTCAATAAGATTGAGGAAGTGGCGGGTGTTATCCCCCACCTGTCTGCCTGGCACAAACCCTGCTTGTTCAGCAGAGATGAGCGTGGGGAAGAGCGTCTTTACCCTCGTAGCTAACATTTTGGCATATAATTTAGTGTCCGAGTTAAGGAGCGAGATTGGTCTCAGGTTGGCGCACTGTGTGGGGGGTTTGTTAGGTTTTGGCAAAGTTACAATAAAAGCTTCTAGCATTTCTCGGGGCATGTCACCAGATTGCTTGATATTGTTGAACAGTCGTAAGAGGTGAGGAGCTAATTGGTCCATAAATTTGATATAGTAGTAGTTTGAGAGGCCATCTGGGCCCGGGGATTTGCGTTTGGGGAGAGATTTGATGGCTGCCCTTAGTTCTTCCTCAGTGAAGGGACTGGTGAGGTGTGCGCTAAGGTCCTGGGATATACAAGGGAGAGTAACTTTATCTAAGAAGGAATCTATTCCAGCCCCAGAGGGTTGGTGTGTCCCTGGGTCTGTGTGGAGTTGGTAAAGTGCTGCGTAGTATTCCGCTAATGAGTTCACTATTTCCTGGGGGTTATAGAGCTTGTCTCCCTGTTTTGATACAATATAGGGAATCTTGGTTTGAAGATACTTTTGTTTCAAGCGGCCAGCTAGAAGCTTACCAGCTTTGTTCCCTAGCGTGTAATGAGTTTGCTTCAAATATCGCATTTGTTTTTCTGTGGTCTGTAATTGCAAATCTCGCAGTTTGGCCCTGAGTGTTTGTAGGCGTTTGTGTGTTTGCTTGGACGGGTTCGTTTTATGGTCAGCCTCAGTGTTTATTTCCTGAGTGAGTTTAGCCTGTTCCGCGTGTGCTGCCTTCTTTGTGTTTGCGCCCAGCTTTATGAATTCTCCTCTCATAACCACCTTATGGGCTATCCATCGTGTAGCTAGTGTGGTTTCGCAATGTTCGTGAATTGCAAAGTATGTGTCTAGTGTATCACGTATGTGTTCGAAATTGCGAGGGTTTTCCAGGAGGGCTTCGTTGAGGCGCCAGGCTCCTCGACCTCTCGCTGGGTGTGGTATTCTCATCGTTATTATCAGGGGGGCATGGTCGGACCATGTGATGGGGCCGATATGCATGTCAACGGCATGCGGTAGTGTGCTTTTGTCAAAGAGGCAGAGATCTATTCTGGAGTATGTCATGTGGACAGGGGAGTAAAATGTGTAATCCCTTGTTCCCGGGTATAGGTTGCGCCAAACATCGTATTGTTCCGAAGAGTGCAAGAGATTTGCTAAGTGTCGGCCCATAGACAATGATGGTTGTTTTGGGGGCCTGTTTTGGGTCCTCTGTGTGTTAACATATGGGTCAGGGGTGCAGTTAAAGTCTCCACAGACAATAGTATGCCCTGATTGGTATTGGTCTAGTTTACGAAATGCCTTAGTTAGGAACTCCTTCTGTGTATCATTTGGGGCGTACAAAGAGGCAATCGTCATCTGGAGACCATTTAGGGAGCCCACCAATATGAGTAGCCTACCGTCTTTACCAATGTATTGTTTGGTGAGCGTAAAAACCCAGTCCTTATGGAAGTAAAGTGAAACCCCTTTAGATTTTGTGTTAGCCATGGCATGGTAGGCCTGCGGGAACTGTTTGACCCTAAAGCTTGGTGGTTTGCACTTGCAAAAATGAGTCTCTTGTAGACATACTATCGCCGCCTTGGTTTTGGTCATTTCTTGGGCTGCCAACCTGCGTTTGTGAGGGCTGTTGAGACCCTTAACGTTCATGGAGAGAATTTTTAGCGTGTTATCCATTTGGTATGGGTAGTGGCGTGCTTAGGCGTGAGAGGGGTGCATGGCTGGATAGTGGCATAGCTCGGCTCTGGGGGGACATGTCAGGGGAAATAGGGGGTAAAATTGGGGAGAACATAAACAACCAGTTTGTAACAAAACTAAAGTATTTACACAGCGCCTTCATTTCGATCGGCGCCTTGTCCGGGTGAGACGTAGGCCAGCATCTTGTGCTGATGCCAACGTTCATCCGTGGGTACGCCCGGTGGGAGTGGGGTGTGGATGACTTACATGCTAATGACGGTGACACAGCCCTCTCATGGCACTCCTCACTATTTTCACATGTACAGTACAGTAGTATCAATAAAACATTTCAGCATTAAGCAGTGGAACAACACTCCCAGGATCCCTCCCCCCGCCATCGTTATGTCTAGACAGTTACGACACGCGGCCCAACTATTAATTGAATTATATACACTTTCCCCATGTGTGGGTGTTGGATCGCATATCATATAGTTACGTGGGTTGGGTGACACCACGTCCCCCATTCAGCTGTCCGGCAAGGAAGAGAGTCCTAGGAGTACAGTCCTTTACGCTTTGGTCGGCGATCCCGCCATCCGCCATTCTCCCAGTTGTCGTGGTGGTGTTGCAGTAGCAGCCGCTACCGTCGCTTGTGCTGGAAACAGTCCCCATTCTCTTATGAGGCGCATGCCCACCTCTGGTTCATTTACCACGTGGTTTTTGCCATTCTTCCATACGATTATTTTCGTCGGGTATCCCCATCTATACTGAATGTTGTTGTTTCGCAGCGTCTTCGTCACCGTAATGAATTCCCTTCTTCGGGCCATTGTTGAGGCCGACAGGTCCGCATATATACTGAGGGCAGTGTATGGTTCAGGCAGCTTGTCAAGTTTGCGGGACGCCGTTAGTAGGGCGTTCTTAGAGGTGAAATAGTGAAATCTGGCAACTACATCGCGAGGTGTATCCTGTGCCAATCTCGGTGGACGTGGGAGCCTATGGGCTCTATCCAGGAGCCATTCTCCTTCTGCTATATCGGGTTGCAGAGTTGCGCAAAGCCTTTTGAGATACGCTGGGAGTTCTTCTGTGCCCACACGTTCCAGTATTCCGCGGAACCTAACATTGTTCCTGCGGGACCGGTCTTCTAAATCAGCTAGTTTACGTTTGAGCTGAGCTTGTTCCTCCATTAAGTGCTGTACTGTGTTTGTCAGCGTGTTCTGTTCAGTGCACATGTCTTCTGTGCGTGCTTCTAGCTGGTTAGTACGTTCTCCTAGGTCAGATATCTCCCTCTTGATCTCACTGGTCGCCCTCTTGAGGTCAGATTGCAGTGTGACTCGAAAGTCCTGCAGCATAAGAAACAGCCGTTTCTCCGTTACCGGTGCGTCTGTGTACGGGCTGGAGTCCCCTTCGGGGTTTGGTGAGCTCTCAGCATGTTGTGAGCAGGCCTGCTCGTCGTCGCCATCTTGTGTAGGCCGCACCCGGTCCTTTCTCGCGGGCCGAATTTGGTCTGTTAATTTCGTTTGTTTGGCTGGGGCCATTGTAGGGGTTAATATCCCAGGCTGGGCAGTCGCTGGAGGGCTGTGTGTGCTGCGGGTAATGGGCTTGGAAGTCATCCAAAGCACGGAGCTCTCACTCCATGCGACCACTCGGTTCGGCAGTTAGCCAAGCCCCCCTGCATTTCCTTCTTGATGGTGCCAGTGAGAAGAAAAACATAAGTTTCGTCCATGATGAATCCGTAGTATACACCCCCCTCAGGGAGTGGCAGAAGAGTGGACGGATTGAGAACTTGACATCTTTGAAGGGTAATGTTGTCAGGCAATAAAAGATGACATTGAAGGCGAAGATGCCTAGCAGGAGTAACATGCTTAAGTTGGACCTGGTTGACTATGGCAGAAATGTCATGAGGGGCCAAGACAACCAGGGGGTGGCCAAGGACAAGATCTCCAGTTCTTTCAATGAGCTCTTTGGCAGCAAAGACGGCCCGAAGGCAAGTGGGACGTCCTCTGGCCACAATATCCAGTTGGCAGGAGAAAAATCCAATAGGCCTTTGGCGGCCTCCAGGACCATGGGCCTGAGTGAGTACTCCTGTTGCATGGCCTTGTCTTTCAGAAACAAACAATTTGAAGGGTTTGGTATAGTCTGGTAGGCCAAGAGCAGGAGCAGAGGCAATAGCACGTTGGAGAGTGTAGAAGTTGTCATGTGCTTCTGAGGACAGACAGAACGGGTCTGATTTAAGAGCATCGTACAAAGGTTGCATGAGTAGAGAGGCCTCTGGGATCCACGCACGGCAGTAAGAAATGAGGCCTAGAAAGGCGTGGAGGGATTTAGGAGTTTTTGGAGGCGGAATGGCTAGAACCACTCCGACACGATCACGGGTGAGGTGTCTGGTGCCATGGGACAGGCAATGGCCTAGAAAGATTACGGTGGCCTGGCAAAATTGAAGTTTGGCAAGAGATGCCTTACACCCCTGATCTGCAAGATAACAAAGGAGGTCCAGAGAACATTTTCCTGTCGTGGGGATGTCATCTCCAAGTAAAATGGGAAGGGAACAAAGAACTGTAGTTGCTTTTCGTGACAAAGGTGTATTTAATTGAACCTGGCCGTCTGCAGTGAGGGTGATGGATGCTTGGAGGCGGGATAGGACATCAGCACCCAAGAGGTTAATGGGACATGGACAGGTTACTGCGGGAAATACCATCAACACCAACACAAGAGACATCGGTGTCAGACAGGAACGATGAGTCAGGCAGGTCTTGTTCTCTAAGAACACTGCGAGCTGCACCTGTGTCAACCAGGAAAGTGGTGGGCTGGCCCTCAATGGGTAAAATTACAGTAGCTAGAGGCCCCCCTTGTTCCCCTGAAGACACTGCCATAACAGGGGCATTAAGCATCAGTGGGTTCTATCATTATAAATAATGGTTAATAGTAAGTGAAGTAAAGTTCCTAAATGTCTTTGGATAAAACATTAACTATTGCGGTACTATCATTTATATTAATTAGACTACAACAATTATACCACCCTGTAACTAAAATGAATAACCAGTAGTGGCTGGGTTAATAAAACATGTCACAAACCCGTCTAACGCTAAACCATCATTTAAAGTAAAGGATGTTACTGTAAACCTACGATCTGTAACTATCAAGATTCGATTAAGTAAAGATACAATGTTTAAAATAACTTGCATTATTTGGCTATTTCCCTTGTTGCAAGATTAATCTGGATAATCAGCTGTTATGCTCTTATATTCGTGTCCAACAGATCTCATTTGTAGGTCACACCACAGTTGCAAATGACATTTTAGCAACCTTCTTTTTTTTTTTTTTATCACGGACACATTTCTGATACAGGGAAACAAATGGCATGATTGTTTTAGTAATTATAATGTTTCTGTTCATAATATGTAGAGTGTAAGGAAAACAACATGTCTCTAAATAGGACAAGCATGATAGGGGTAGGCCTCATGATGGAGGCAGCCATGACAGGGGCGGGGAAGGAAATGACAGCAAGGGAGGAAGTGAGGTGACGTCCATGATAGGTGTGGGAAAGGAAGACAGGAGGTGTGGGCATGGTAAGGGCGGAAGTGACGTCACTTTAGAAGCAACCGTGACTGTAGATAGGTCACGGGACTGGCAGGGTCAACCTCCTTCTGTACTAGGCGCCATCTTTAGGGTGGTGGCTGACGCACTTTCAACAATACACTATATTATAACTAATAAAATAAGTCAGAGAAGCAACATTCTGTTCTGCAAAATGAAATACTAAACTATGAACAGACCTGGCAGGTTAAATAAGATAGTTGAAAACATTATGCATTTAACAGCCCATAGAGCTGTCCATAGAAACATGTACTTTAAAATAACTTTAAAATAATAAAATGATGCAAAATAAACTCACGGAATTCAACCAATTTC